TTTGGTGACAATCGTCTTTAATAATTATTAGATACAACTTCTTTTTACATATTTCAGCTCTGTTAACCATGCACCCAAAAGTATAGCTACGTTTTAAAGAAGTCTCTTGATATATTTGACAAATGTCTTTTTTTTAACATGGCCTTTGCAGTAAATTTTGGAAGACAAAATAGTAAAACTATTTGTTTTGGTTATTTCCAGTAAGGGTTTAGAAAATGTTTTAATATTTCCATGACAGGTTATGAACAACACCAACAGAAGTGTGAAAAGATAAAAATTTTGACCGTTTCTTGTGTCTGCCTATTACAAACACATTCATATTAGCATAAGTTGCTTATAGCACTTATTACATATTTTGAAATTACATGAAGTTAATTGCCTTCCGTCATTTAAGACTATTCATAAAAGTACTATATATAATGGCTACTTATGTATGCCAAAATAGTAACATTTACAAATATTATGCTGGGACAGGGTATTATGCTTTTTTCAGATATTTATTTCTCATACATATACTTTCCATGCAATTCTGATAAATTTTGCCCAGAACTGAAAGAGAAGCTAACAGACTATTCTTACCTAGGAGCCTATGAAAATATGCAGTATATTTCATTATGTTAACTTTCAAGGCTAACAAAAAAAAACCCTCCTGCAGAAATATTTGGAAATTGTAACAGTAGTTAAAATGAAAAATACACAGTAACAAATCTGATCTGTTTGACTCATGACATATCAAGTACACAATATATCCACTGCTACCAGATGCAATCACTTTCCAAAAGAACTCATTTTAAAATTTACATGCAACACAGTTTCAGTTCAGATTTGTTCCACTGTATTCTATAAAATACACTCAAAGGAACAACTTATCATCTCAATTCCTCACTTTTTTCTCTCATAGACACACACACAAACACAAATAACATGGACAGTGCCACATGCTAAGACATAAATGATGATAATGATAAAAATAAAATTCATAAGGCATGTCAGTATCAATTAGTGAAAATGACAACTCCTCTTCACTTGAAAATCATGCACAATTACATGACACAAAAATAAAGATATGTACACACCTGTACGTAAAAGTGAGTGAGTGAGTGCGAGTGAATGTGTGTGCATGTTTGTGTTCATGTGCAATGCACACTTGTCACCCCCTCCCTTCATTCCTCGTTTGACGGTCTGTCTACACTCACTCATTCAGTCACTCACTCACACTAGAGTTATGAGATTAACGAAACAGTACATAAGGTATTTAACCTGAGGAAATCAAACTTTTGTGTAGATTGGATAAATGAAGTGCAAATGATGGAGGCCCTAATATATTTACAAAACAACATGCAACTTACAAAGCTTTATTATTTGGTATCAATAATTTCTACAGGTCACTACATTTTTTTAGGCTTTTTAAAGGGGAATATTAGTTGATAAATTCAGAATATCAACTGCAATAATTTCTAAAATATACAGGAATTAATTGACAAAAGTATATTTTCAATTTGGGTAATAGTTGAAAAGAAATGACTGACCATTTTATTCACACTACAATATTATGACAAACTCAGCAATCATACAACTGATAAGAGAAAGGGGAAAAATTAAGACATGCCTATTTAGAAGTACTTTCATAATCCTCTAAAAGTACTTGGGTTATTCAAAGTCTGGATTCCTTCTCTTCCCAAAATTCTTAAAATGCTGTATTAATAATCACAACTTTGTACATTCAGGAAGAAGTCACACAAGTGTCTATGGACAACTTCCGTCTAGTGGTGAAATGGCTGCATTTTAAGTACACTACATGAACAACTAAAACTAAGAGCTGAAGCTTAATCCATTGAGCCTCTGCATGGGGTTCAATATATTTACATGACATCAACTGAGGGTGGGGGAGAGATGGGGAACAGGCAGGGGGGGAGGGAGGTATAGGCAATGGGAGTCAGAGTTATGATAAGAAGAGGGAAAACAATTTTTTTTTCATTTTCTTTTTTTTTTTCTAACTTCCATTTCTTTACACGATTAAAAAAAAATCTCTTTCACCATCAACAACAAATGTGAACAGATATTTAGGAGGTTTCTGAACAAGCTGGGCATTACGATCACCGGAATCACCACTAGGAACTAGGAAGGTGCATTACCTTTTCCTTCATCTCCCTCTCTTTGTCTGCCTCAAGCTTTTCAATTTGTCTCTGCAGTTTTGCAACCTGTTCCATCAAGACTGATTTCTCTTCCTTCAATCTCGCTATCACATGATCGTTGGAACAACTAGCAGCTGCCTCTTGCTGTGAGTGAATTAAGGCCCCAAATGATGATATATCACTTTCCTCAGAATGTAAAGTAAATTGCACATATTGACTTGAATGCTCTAATTTATCTACATTGCCTTCTGAAAATTCATAGCGTAAATGTGACGTTTCTTTCTGAATAGCTAAGGTGTTCGTCTTCATGGTGTGGCTCATATGCAGGCTGTTATCTAAGGATTCCAATGGCGTCCCGACATACAGGGAAGATGTTAGAATATCTGTTGCTGAAGGTCGCTTCTTTGGGTCTAGTTCGGTAAGCTTCAATATCCAGGGAGCCTGAAAAGGAGGATTATAAAAATATAATAACAATAATAATAAAAAATAAATAAAAATAAAAATAGATGACCATATACATCATTCTGTTGATTCAAGATGATGATAATGGTGGCAATCAATCAATATGAAAAAGGTAATAATGAAGATCATTAATGCAAAATTATGTAATAGTAAAAGTAAATTTTAAATAATGACAAACTATATCTGACTTGAAATATGGGAAGTACTAAAGCCATGGGAGTAACAACCTTATATATAACTGCATATTATCTCTTTCTTAATATAACTTCCAGAAATAATAGGAAATGCTGTTTTTGACTCAATAAAACCAAATTCCATCTTTTACACAGAATGTAACACTTCTAATTAATTTAAATAGATTTTCATTTATATAAATAGGATACTATAGCTTCAATCAAGCAACATAAATATCTCTGAACATGAAAGATGGAGCAATGCACTGCTGCATTGATATGGATAAACAATAATTCAGCAATTCAAATTACAAGTCAGATATACTGAGGAAAGGCCCAGGTTCGAGTCATGATCAGAAGGAGTCTTTATTTTTCCACATCAATGTGTCACTGCATTATTCTATCTTTCATAAATGTACAGCAATGCATCCAACTTAGGATTTGAATTGCTAAATAAATTACCACTGAGTGCCCACGGGAAATGTGGGTAAAACTTCTCTATCATTACTCTAGTATGAGTAGATACGTAATGTCTATGGAACTACTTAACACCTAGTTGAACACTCCTTTTAGTGGGTCATGTAATATGGTTGGTTTAGCATTGGTCTCCCAGTTTCATACCTGAAGTAGCCCAGCTTTGAGATCTGGGCAGGGAGGGTCATTATTTATCTCTAAATATGCAAAAACATTATAACCATGTTTTGGTTATGTGCTACAGAGAGCTATCACATCACTTTGTTATGTGGCGTGTGTGACATCAGTTGAGTCTGAAATAGGCCCTGGAGGTAAGCCCATTCAGTCCTGTACACTCTCCAGAGTGGAGAAAAAGCACACCCCAAAGTCTCCTGAAGGCATTGGGTTAATGATTATAAGCAGCCTGATTTTATTCACTTTGCTCCAAGTACATTTTCCATCATTTCAAGTTCACCACTAAGCATTGCTAATGGGAGTGTCAATTTCAATTCTTGTATCCAAAACATATTACTATCAGTAGAGGACATATGTTTACAAGATAGACAAGTTAAATTCAGTGTTTCATACATTAGTAACACTGAGTACTTAAGAGGACTGTGCATTTATTGGCTTTAACTAGGGAGTGCTAATTTCTGAGTGATTCCTATACTGCCAAAATTTTCAAAATTACTTCATTTGGTCTGATTAATTTTCCTTGATTCAACCCTAGTCACAGGATATCCATTATCCCTGTGACTAAAATTGGGAAAAGTAACTAAACAGCAACAAATCAGTAACAAGGCCACCTCAAATATTAATAATGATGAAAAAATAGGAATGAATAAATAAATAAATAAATAAATAAATAAATAAATAAATACGTACTATGTCCGGCCAGTGCAAGAGGATTTCCTTGTCCAAGACCCTTTTCGTCTTGAGGGCTTCTATTGCGTGGATTCTTTCTGACATTGTTGAAAAAGACTGGAACAGTTCTAGAAGAATGATGCCCAAGTTGTGCAAGTCACTCTGGAAAAAAATATATTTAGTAACTCTCTCTCTCCCTCATTGGCACTCTGTCACTGTCTGTGTTTCAAACTGTGGTTTTTCATTTCACACTTCATTCCATATATCTAACAGAAACCTTTAACAACCTTTAGTATTTGATTCAAATGATGATGGAATGAAATTTTACTCCAAAAAAGAAAAGAAAAGAAGAAAAAAAAAACTGTTGGTGTTTGCATTACCTCAACTCCATAGCTTCCTCCTACTTTCAATTCTGGCGCTGCATATATAGGAGTACCAACACCACTAGTATAAGGAGCATGTTCCGAGATAGGTGTAAGGGATGATTCAGTGGGTATTAAACTTGTCGACTCATCATATATAACATTTTCGGGTAATTGTCGTGCCAAACCAAAGTCTCCAAGCTGAAGGGTTCTCCCATCTTGTGAGAAAAATATATTTGCCGGCTGGAAGAAAGGTAGACTCAGCATTATTTTTCAAAATACACTAATTGTCTAACCATTTCTATGCATTTATGTTTTTTCTATCTTATATATATATATATACATACAAAAACATTATTGTGTCTTGAGTGTGTGTTTGTGTGTGTGTGAGTGTGTGTGTGTTGTGTGTGTGTGTGTGTGTGTGTGTGTGTGTGTGTGTGTGTGTGTGTGTGTGTGTGTGTGTGTGTGTGTGTGTGTGTGTGTGTGCGTGTGCGTGCGTGTGTGTGCGTGTGTGTGTGTGTGTGTGTGATGTGTGTGCGTGTGCGTGTGCG